AATTGATAAATTTAATTTATTTTCAAATATTTTAAAAATTTATGATTTAAATTTAGTAAAAATAGACTTAAAATAAGAGAGAATTTAAAAAAAATAAAGATATTAAAGATCAAATTATGAAATAATTACATTATGTAGTTAAAAACCAAAACAACAACGTTTTTGTTTTTCAAATTTTCAAACTTTTCAAATTAAAACTTGAAATCTAAAACTAAAATTCGAATTGACTCAAATAACTTGAACAATTTAAATAACTCAATTATTTTTTATTTGTTGAGTTAAATAAATAATTTTTTTTTATCATTTTGATAGTGACTTATGTCACCATTTTACTAGATGACATGTGGGCAAACTAATTCATATGCCACTTACATATAGACTTATTATATCAAATATTATTAATAGTTTAACGATTCAGTGATTGAAATGAAATTTTTCTTTAATTATAAAAGCTATAATAAAAAAAACTTGATTTTAGAAACCAAAGTAAAAAGTACTAAAATTTTAATAACTAATAAAAGAAGAAAAAGAACTATTATGAAGTCCAGAGGTGTAAAACACTTGAACAACCAATCAATCAGTTGAGTTGCAGCAGGCCCCTATCGAGGAGCGGTTGGTAGTAGTCGTCTTCTGAAAATTTTAAATTAATCTTTATTTTGGATATGTTATGTGTATTTTTTTATTGATAATCTATTTTTGTCCTCTAAAATTTAATAAATTCGCTCCTTTATAAAATTTTAGAAATTTATCCCCTAAAATAAAATTATGCGTGCATCCCCAACCTCAGTACTTTTGTTCAAACTTTACCCTCTTAGATGTAAGGTAAAGGCCAAGGATTGCCATTAATAACCAAGCTAAATCCATCCCTCTACCTTGGCATTTAAGAAACATGCAACATCCTTTTGTGAGAACCATTGTTAATGAACAAATTAGATATTTGACAATGACAACTTGTTTCAACGCAATCCATGGGATGCTTGACATTGCATGCAGCAACCCAATCATGAAACCAGAAATAAGAAGGTTTTTTATTTTTAGGTTCAGACTGCAAATTAAGGCAAGTAGACGAAAATTGTTTTTTCACTGTGGTTCGCGATAATTCCTCTTTTTGAAGTGCTGGTGATTTCATAATGGTTCACGAACCACTGTTGAGAGTTTCCCTGGGAAACTGTGCTCTGTTGAGCTTGGGGCTTTATGCACTACTACCAACATAATAATTCACAACTATTATAACTTGCATATTGTTCCTTCTCGCCGTTGTTCAGCTTTTGCAGCAAACAATATTTATTCTTTGCATTATTATTACATAAAGGTTGCCTGCATATTCCTTTTGGGACCATGCACCAGAAAAAACAAAAGAAAATAAAGGAACAAGAACACCCCTGCTTTGGCATTGAAATCCTTTCACTTTTAAGTTAACAACAGAAGATGGCAATCCTTGTATGCAATTCCATTAGAAGAGGATACTTTAAGCACGCATGCATTCGAATTATTATGAGCAACTAGATCATGTGCCATGCATGGGATTCTTGCAAAAAAGGAGATATCATTGTGGTTTCCAATATGATAGGAAGCTTGTAGACGCACTAACTTCCAATGCGAAGGAGACAAATGTAAGTTGAAAGAATGAAAATTTTATGGGAAAACACAGTTCCAAACGATGGGTATGGGAACTAGTGTGTTATGGGATTGTAAATGAAGGATGTTGGGATCCCCAGAGGATTGTAACATATACATGCATGGTACAAATGATGCATATTATCAACATTGCATGCAGATTCTTTTTGTTTCACCCAAGGAATGGGAAATGCATACCTTTGGTGCTGAACCTATTCGTGTTATAGGAAAATTTAATGTTTTAGTCAACATCTCTATTAAAAAAATGCGACTTGAATCATTTTGGAACGTTGATCAAATTTAGCTTAACAAATAAATAAGAATGAACTCATTAAGCAACTTCAGTAACAAAAGGGAGTTTTTTTTTTTATTCAGTGCTATTAATCTAACACTAACCCCTAGTCAATGGCTACCAGTACTTAACCATTTGGAAGAAAAGTAACTTCATAGAGTTATGGGGAGCCCGAGATCTAAGGAGAATATACTCATCATCATGGCGTGGAACTTTGAAGCATTAACATATGATTTCAGAGCAGTGAACCCACGTATCATCCCAAGAAAATGTAATCTTTATTGAAGAAATCTAAACCAATTTTTCTACTTCAATCTACACCAACCCTATGTGAATCGACACCATACCCTTTGAAATACGTAAAATAGATTTCTTAAATTAAAATCACAAATTTTGCATTGGTATATACAAGTAACCTGGCCAATATTGACCCTTAAAGTCTTCAACTTCAAATCCTCCAACTTTCCTGCAATGGAGAAATCTGTATTCTCAATGCTGATCTTTATGGTAGAACTGCTTTCATTTTCTGGGTACCTTATCCTCTCAGCACGGGGCCGAATTGTGGTGATCAAGCATACAAGATTCTGTGCATTGCAGGGGCACTATGGTTTGATGCTATGAAGGGATCTTACAAGATCATATCCATCAACCCCATGACTCAACGGATAGTTCTCCGGCCCCCGAGTCTTTTGGATGATAGCTGCATTTCGAGAGATATCAGCACACAAGGAATCCAGCTTGATGATGATCTCCTCTTCAACATCACTAGCAGTAACACTATTTTGTTGCTGAACTGTACGAATGCAATATTGAACTTGCAGGCACCCATAAATTGTACAGCAACAAGCATATGTCATAACTATATAAAGGAAAATGCAGAGGCATGCATGAGGAGTCCGTTGTGTTGCGTGTTCAAGACTGGTGGATCGCAAACCGCTTATGTATTGAGGGTTCATGATGGAGGTTGTCTGGCATATCAGAGCTTTGTGAACATTGAAACTGTAAATCCTCCAAATAAATGGCCTCAGCCTGGTTTGGAGATAGAGTGGGCATTGCCACAAGAACCGGTTTGCAAGACTCCGGTAGATTGTAATAACTTGTTCCATTCCATGTGCTTAGCTGATCCCGCCAATGTTGGAACAACAAGGTGCTTCTGTACCAAAGGGTTCAAATGGGATCCTCTCAACGGATTATGTCAAAGTAAGTAACCATTTACCTCGCAAAAACAACTTTAAAAACAGTTCTTAACGTGGCCATAAGCATTGAGATACTATCTTCTCTTTGTTTAGGTACAAAATGTCGACATGGGAAACGCTGCAAAAGACAAAAGAAGCATACAGTGCTCGTTTGTGGTATCTGCCAGCATAGAACTAGAAATTCACATATGAAATCATTGCTGATGTTTGCTATTCTTTTTATGTATGCCTAACAAGAAGTGACTGATGGTGGACGTATGTTTTTCAGGTGTATCGGTTGCACTGGGAGGAGTTTCGCTTGCTATTATGATCGGAATTCTACTTTACAAGCAACACCAGCGCGTAAAGAAAGAATTGCAGAAGAGGCTGGTCAAGGAAAGGGAAGAGATGTTAAATGCTAGAAACAATGGCAGATCAGCCAGGGTTTTCACTGGCAAAGAAATAAGGAAAGCAACCAATAACTTCTCTGCGGCGAATCTCATAGGATCAGGAGGTTTTGGTGAGGTTTTCAAGGGCGTTCTTGATGATGGAACTATAACAGCCATCAAACGTGCAAAGCTTGGAAACACCAAAGGAATTGATCAAATCCTTAATGAGGTCCGAATTCTTTGCCAGGTGAACCATAGGTGCCTGGTAAGACTCCTTGGTTGCTGTGTCGAGCTTGAACAGCCACTCGTGATATACGAGTTTGTCCCTAACGGAACCTTGTTTGATCACCTCCATTGTAGTCGTTCCGGAAAATATGCTCCCCTCACATGGCAACACCGGCTTCGCATTGCTCACCAGACTGCAGAAGGCCTTGCTTATCTCCACTCTGCAGCAGTTCCACCCATTTACCATCGAGATGTGAAATCGAGCAACATTTTACTTGATGAAAAGCTTAATGCCAAAGTTTCTGATTTTGAACTGTCCCGGCTAGCTGAGAGAACCGAAGGCGATGCTAGTCACATCTATACCTCTGCCCAAGGAACCATTGGATATCTTGATCCGGAATATTATCGTAGTTTTCAGCTTACTGATAAGAGTGACGTTTATAGCTTTGGGGTTCTTCTTCTTGAGCTCGACTTCTAAGAAAGCTATAGATTTTAACAGAGAAGATAAGTACGTGAATTTGGTAGCTTACATGAAAAATATAATGGATGAAGAGAGACTGATGAATGTTGTTGATCCAGTGATCAAAGAAGGAGCTAGAAAGTTAGAACTCGACACCATTAAAGCACTGGGGCTATTGGCAGCATCGTGTCTGGATGACAAGAGACAACACCGACCTTCGATGAAAGAAGCCGCTGATGAGATTGAATACATAATCAACATTACTAACGGAGAGATTTCCAAGAAGTAAATGTTATAACAGCTCCCAATCACTTGTGGAAGTAAAAGTAAACACAGAGCTGATCAAACAATTGATCTTTCTAACTTGCATTTAAAATAACAGGCAGTTTCAACCATATTTTGCATAACATGATAAAATTCAACACCAGTTTCAAGATTCGGGTTCAATCCCACAACTCTATACTGTAGTAAACAGTACAGCAACAAGACACTGCCACGCATGTTTAAGCAGTGAACCACTTGAAGTCATTACACTGCAAGATTCTAAAGAGCATGTTAACAAAACCAATCAAGAAATCAAGTTCGATCCATGATTTCTTTAGGATGATCAACTGCCCCGGAAAATAGTAATGTTTCTTAAATGAAAACCGAAATATAAATCACCAATTTCATATTTTTCAAGCATACATATACAACATATCCATGGCAGGCATAAGCTTGAAGGGATCTCAGTGCTTATCTCTTGATCAGACATGACAGTATACAACACCAGAAAAAAATGTGATGTCTGTTGGAAGATGTAAGAAGAGGCAAGTCACATGCCTTTCAATTCAAGCTCTTAGTTAAGATCACAAAGAAAAATCTTTAATTTACTGGGGCAAAACCACAATTCTCCAAAATTGTCAAAAACTAAGGAGTGGGAAGCAAAAGAAAAAGAAGCATTTACATGTTAAATGGGAGATACTATTATTTGGACATATGTTATGAGCATCGGAACCTCGAATCCTTCAGAAAGAGGCTAAGATCCAGAACATGACATGGGATGACATGGCAACCAAAATCCAGGTGATGAAAGCCAAAATTATTGATATTTCAAATTGATTGCATGGGAGGTGACTTTGAGCCCTGCAGAAGTCCAAGTCTCTTGCATACAGGACTATAACCCCTGCTGATGAACATGCAGCTGCCAATGATAACATAGCTGTAACCTGCATATTCAAGAAAGGTTAGCTAAGTCATATCCAATTTTGACAAAAAGAGTATCAAGGAAAAAAAGGCGCAAAAATTAAGTTGCATGTAGGAAAAACCGAAAAAAAAGAAGATTGAATTTTGAGGCCCAAATAACAATTGCTAGCACCACTTAAAAAAATTAAAGCAAAATGAATAGAGTTCATATAAGGATTATGAAGACATCGATCCTCTCTCCATGTAAGATTCACTTTACTTTCGTTCACAAATGGGAACAGGTCACCATAGAAACAACCAATACTGGACATGGAAAGGTTGTATTTGATAGAATAAGAGCTGCTCTAAATGGTCATGTAAACCATATATGGAACCATAAACAGTCTGAACATGAAAAACAAATATGGGGAGAATAAGTGATAACTAAGGTGAAATATGACAAATACCAAATAGAACTATAGCATATAATTTCTGGTAAAAAAACTGACTCCCATCAATATTCATACATCCATTTAGGGACTAAAGGAGATTAGTGGGGATTCTTGGAGAAAAGTTGCATACCCAATCACCTACAACAAATAGGCTCACTAGAACAGGATTCTGAAGATCTCTCTTTTTCCTCAAAGCATAAACATCGAGACATGCAAGACCAAAGCTCCATAGCAGTTGAAGCCCCATAGATGCAATCAAATAGCTGAAACAGAGAACATACAGAACATCAAAGCTGCATCAAATAAAAATTATTCTAGTGCATTTCTACTCTACTTTAACCATCCTTTACACCCCATGGTCCCCATCAAGCCTAAACATTTCCCCGCTTCCCAGGAATATAGAACTATAAGATTCCACAGGAGATAAGCTTAAATGCCATCTTACATCTAGTCAAAACAGCAGCTTTCAATATTTTCACAATAGAAACCCACACTTTATGAGACTTCAAAAATGAACTAGAACAAGTTACAACAGTGTTGCACATTTGAGACCTCAGTCATGAATAACAGAAGACACAGAGAATACATACTTCTAGGCAACTATGTACTCAAGTTCATTCAGACCTATACTATACCTCAGTCTTGAGTTTCATTGACTCAAATGAATGGTTGTGTCAGACTATCGCTATAAGCAGAAACAAATCTTAAAACAAAGTGACTGCACCATGCATATTAGCAGAAAAGTTGCAAAGAAATCAATTCTTTTTTTCCTGCTGTGCTGTTAACCCCAACATAATTACTCAGTTCAAAACAAAATTTTCCATTTCAAACAACCAACTTTTGAATATTTCCCTTGACACCATAGTGACAATATTATCAGCGTGTAGATGATTCCTCCTGCTTAACCAAGTAAGTTACACCCAATTTGCACAACTTCATATTCAACTTAAAATACAGTTTCAGAAGAATTGATGGGGCTTTAAAATCACAGCTTCTAATACCTCATCCAATAGTCATTACAAATTAAAGTCAACAAATTCTCATTCATTTCCATTTTATAATACAAAAAACACAATTTAGAAATGAAACCCTCTTCAAACTAGGGCCCAAAATTGATCTAAACTTGAAATACCGAAAAGGGTCCTCTTTTTATCCGATGAATTCAAACCAGTAAACCCAGAGTAGCAAAATCCAGTTGCATGATTCTTATAACTGTTAGTACTTTTAACGAATTTGCACCAACAAGCTGATTAACAAATTATGTTCCCCAGCTGACTAAGTAATCTGATTCAAACACGCCATTTTAACTAAAATTTAGTTAATAATTAGACCTCAAAATGCTGATACAATGGCAACAAATCAAAGAAAATTAAAATTTCCATATACACCGAAATAGGGGGGGAGCACAAATCAGAAAAGGTAAATTTGAGATCAAACCGAACGAAGGGGGAAAGGAAAAACAGAAGTACCAGAAAGCAGTGTAGGAAGAGAAATCAGAGGCAGAGACCATGACTGCAATGGAAGCAGCTGCAAATGCACATTGATATGCCCTTAAAATTAACCCACTCATCGTCCCTGGACTTCCAATAAACACTTTCATCCTCTTCCTTTAAGCTAAGGGCAGGGTACCCACTATCCCCTAAAATCAAAGGACCTTTCTTCCAGAAGAAAAAGGAGAAAACCTGGAAACTTAAACCGCTTCTTCCATTAATGAAAACCCAAATCCAGTGTCCAAATCAGCTTCTTTTTTGTTCAAGAAAAAAAATCGACAAATGGAAGTGGGGATTTGGAGATTTGGAGTTCGTAACTTTTCCAGCTAAAAACTTAAAAAGCGTAGGATTTAAGAAATACCCTGATATTGTGATTTGTTTAGCAGATCATAATTTATATACATTGATGCTTTTGATTTGATGAACGAAGGAATAAAGAGAGAGAGAAAGCTCTATTACTTCAGTTGGGTTGATGAATGTAAGTATACACTGTGTGGATCTTTTTCACTTGGGTAAACTATATACTTAGCCATTCAATTATTTTTACAATTTCGTTTTAGTCATTTATCTTTTTCAAAATCATTATTAAAATTATAATCTTTTTCGTTTTAATTGCACGATATTAAAAAAAATAACGATAATATTGATATTTCGTCCTAAGATAACATCATGTCATCATAAAAAATTAAAAAAAATCATGTTAATAATTGATTTTAATTATTAAAGATATGATTGTTATTCTTAGAAGTATTAAGTTTAAGTATATATTTTATAAAAATATTTAAATTATTATCAAATGATTATGATTTTTTTAAACATTATTATATTATAACCGTTTAATATTAATAATAAAAAATAAAAGAACGAGCGAGCTGACAAGTGCTAAACTCAACCTAAAAAACTTAAAACATTCTTGAAATTAGATACCCAAAATCTGCCATGAACTTAGAGAAGAAAGGCTAGCAGTGGCCCAGACTAGCCTAAATACCTGATCGAAAAGACGAGAAAAAATTACAAAATTTTGGGTCCCAAAAAAGGAAAGACTCTTATCTCGCAAAAAGGAAAACGAAGAAGTAGAAGTCTAGAACATAAAGTTTGCCAATTTGAGTCGAGGAGATCGAAAATCATTGAATGCATGGCTTGCCGTATCAATTTTAATCTCCGGTGTCCTACTTCGGATACGCCGCGTTTCGTGCTCTCATCTCACTCCTTCAAAAACCCTATTTTCATTCCTCCGTTTAAACTCCGCACCAACGCTACTAATCTCACTAAGGTTAACTCCTAATTTTATTCCATCTTAGATTCGATCCCCGCCTTTTTTTTTTATTCTTATAACTTGAATAAAACAAAGGGACACTTCATTCATCAAATTCTCCACTAATCATCCTTTTTTTTACTTCTTAAAAAAGCTTTCTTTATCGACTTCTGGGTGGCTACGGAGGCGACGGATGGGTTTTGTGACGGTGAATTCTCATATGGCCACCGAGGAAAAGTCTATTTATGGGGATAGGATGCTTGTCGGTTTTCTTCTTTTGCTTTGTTTTCTGTTCCGTATAAACGACGTAGTTTCTTTGTTTTCAAGCTTGGTTTATTTGGTTTGTTTCGTTTTCTTATAGGTGTTTGTGCCTCCGCACCCGTTGATTAAGCATTGGGTTTCGGTTTTGAGAAATGAGCAAACTCCTTGCCCCATTTTCAGTGAGTTTTCTTCGAATTTAGCTTAAAGTTTGTTTCTTTTTAGCTTTTAATCATCCGGGTCTGTTTCAAAATCTTTTCCTATTAAGTTTGTATATGATACGATGAGATCTCATTATCAGTTTTTGTTCTTTGTTCTTATCAGGAAATGCTATGGCTGAGTTGGGGGGGCTACTTATGTATGAAGCTTCAAGGGATTGGTTGGTAAGTTATTGGAAAGATTCTCTTTTTTTTTATCTTCATTATAAATTTTATTGGCATTAAGAATGTGTTTTTGTTAATTGGAACTTACATATCTTTGTGCTTATTGCTGCCAGCCTACTGTAACAGGAGAGATTCAATCGCCAATGGGTATGGCTTCAGTTGAATTTATTGATCCAAGGGAACCTGTGGCGGTTAGTTTCGCTCCAGCTTTTCTAGTCCTGATGTCTCTATGAATTGGTTGAGCAGTAATTTGTGTTAGGTCTGTGTCTAAGACCTTTTTCTTTTAGTTTCTCAGATTGTTCCAATCTTGAGAGCTGGTCTTGCTCTGGCTGAACACGCATCGTTCATTTTGCCAGCTACAAAAACATATCATTTAGGTGAAGATGCAGCTAAATCGTTGTTAAAGACTAACTTTTATCCCTCACCTTCTTTATGTCAACTAGTCTAGTTTCTTTTTACTTGTGGTTTTATGAATGCAGGGGTAAGCAGAAATGAAGAGACACTTTTGCCAACTGTTTATCTAAACAAGTAAGAGCTCACTTTTCTCTTGGTATTATATGGATCTAAACCTCGAGTGTTTTCTAAGCATGACCTATTGGAACTTTTTATTATAGTTGAAGTATTCCGTAGCATTTTAGTACGAACAGTTTCATTCCATCCTTTTGCTTTGCTTTGGTTTAATTTATTGGTTTTTTAAGTTGTGATGTGTGCATGTAACTTATGTTGTTGTCCTCTGTAGGTTGCCTGACAAATTTCCCGAAGGATCCCGAGTGTTTGTGGTAGATCCTATGTTAGCAACAGGTTCTGATCTTCATATCACTTCTGGATCTTATGTCACATCCATCCTGTATAGCTATAAACTTTCAGCCATTATCCTTGTGGCAGTGCATCACAATTTATCATAGACATGTTCATTGTTTTTCAGTGATTGTTTCTTGTTAAAAATTTCAGGTGGCACAATTGTGGCTGCACTCAACCTCTTGAAGGAACGTGGAATTCAAAACAAGCAAATGAAAGTGGTAAACAATTTGGAAGAATCCTTTATTTTTCCAGTTGAAGATACATTTTGGTAGTTCTTTGGGTGGTTGATTTGTAAATATTTCAGTTAATCTACTTAGTTAAGTTTTTCTTTTGTCACGTTGTTACTAATGCAGTTATTTTATGATATCGAATTCTCATTGATTCAGGCTGAAATGCTTATAACCGTCTCTTCTATTGTTCACCCTTCCTAATACATAAAATATTTTAGATGATCACGACCTCTCTTAGAAGTTTTTAGACTGTTCATTTAGGTTGAACCCCGTATTAGCAATCAAGCCTCAGCTATTAACTTGCCTAATTTCAAAGCTTATGCTTACTGCGGAAATACTTGATCAGATGTATTAAATTGTTTATATTTTCCTATCTTCAGCAGTCATTTTCTATACATATATTTATGCCACCTTAGCAATGAATTGAGCTGTTGTATTACAGATATCTGCTCTAGCAGCTCCTCCAGCCCTTCAAAAGCTGAGTGACAAATTCCCCGGGTAATTAATGTCTGAATATAACAATCCATTTATAGAAAACTGTGGCAGTTATATAGCATTTAAAATTCCGTTCGCCTGATTTTATGATTTTCAGGCTTCATGTGTATACTGGAATTATTGATCCCACCGTCAATGACAAAGGGTAAGTTCTGTCTATTCACTGGAGTTGGCTTATGAATTGTTGTGCGCGGAATATATATTTGATGGCTGCTCGGTGCTTTCAGGTTTATAATTCCCGGACTTGGAGATGCAGGAGATCGGAGCTATGGTACATGACTGAAAAGAAAGAACAAAGGAAGGCAAAAAGAAAAACTACAATCCATATGCAATTTTGATTTAAATTTGTTGAGAGCCTGCCACCAAGTTTAGAGGGCATTCTGAATTTTTTAGCTATTTGATTTGTGAACTTTGGTTGCAGATTTATAAGCCAATGACAGTCTATTCCCAAGTTTTGTGTTAAATAAAGTGTGTTCTACTGGTAGACAAGCATTGGCCTGTACATCCATATAAGCTAAAACCTTGTTTGGTGATTATACACTAGTAAATGGATTCAAATAGTTGAACATTTTTCATTTAATATAACCAAGATATATTTGTATTTGAAAGAAGTCTATATTAGCATTTTGATTTATTTAATTTTTATGTAGTAGATGATTGGACTTGAAGACTTTACTATTCCAAACGTTTTCTAATGTCTTCTTCTAAAGGACGATTATTCTAGATGTCTTCTCATGAGAAAGACCAAGACATTCCGGCGGGAGACTATAGAGAGCCAATCAACCTTTCCATAGCTGCCGCTACGCTTGAGTCCTATGTTTGAATTTTCAATTTCGTTTCTGGTAACATAGTTTGAACAATTCCGAAGAATCCTCTGCAGGAAAATATACACGAGTTCAGAGAAGAGATGACTCTGACTCTGCCCGATATAACTTCGATAAAATAAGATTTCTCACTAAAATGTTGAGAATCATCTTTAGGAAAGAGTTACCTCCGTCCGTTTAGCCAAATTAAACCAAAGTGTAGTGAACCTTTCGCACTGCATATATATAAAAACGTCGAAACAACTACCGGCCTTCAACCGAACTCGTATGAGGGCGTCAAGTTGCCGATAGTATTGAAAATCTTCCGCATAATTAAGATAATGATACATCCAAACTATCAACTTAGGAAAATTTATAAAAGCGATAAAATGATATTCCACTATAACAGAATATACGGTCAAAAACTAGCCATTTAAGTAAGACAACAAAGATGTTTTACAGTGGGCTCGTATAAGTTTACTCAAACGTAGAGGATCTCTACTACACATTTAAGCGTAGAGATATCTCCTCCGTCTATATATCAATTTAGACCAAATCGTTGAGAATCCTCCATAGGATATATATGTAGGCCTTGAAACAATTCCGCCATATATAAAATTGCCTACTTCAGATCACCCACATTGACCTTCAGATCAAAGGAGTGATTGTCTCTCAAAGCGATCTTTGCATCAGGGATAAAAAAAGACGAGTATCCAACCGTTTGAAATAATTCTTTACATTGGTTCATGAGAAGTGGGTCATATAATAACAATAAATGTTTTTTTTATGCGAGTCTTAGGTCAAGTCATTTTCTTGACCAAGAGGTGACGAGTGTTGTACCTTCTCTAGATCTCTCATTAAGCCCACACCCAGCTGACACTCCGCCTATCGAGCATTGAGGCCTTCAGAGTTCCTCGAAGTCTATGATGTAACGACTTTGATTTTTTAATCAATATTTGAACATTAACTCAAGCCTTGACAATTATTTTAGTTCGTGCATTGGAGTTATTGGACTAAGTTTGGGCTCTAATTAGGTATGTTTGGGACCTAATTAGGATTAGAAATTAGGATTTCGAGTTAAGAAAGGACCTAGAGTGTAAATTACCAATTTAAGAAACTAAGCAATATTTTCCTTGATTTCTTCTTTGTGCTATACATAAGCTTGTAAAGAGGCTATTAATGGGTTCGGCAGAGGATACCATCATTCTCTTTTATCTTTTCTTTCTCCTCGTCACTTTTTAGATATTTTTCTTGATTTGTTCCACCGAAAACCCAAAGAAAATATCTTTCAAAGAATTTATTATTCTAAAAAACTCTCCTTCAGAAATTGCATAAGTGAGAGAGATTAGAGAGTCCTCCAAAGTAAAAAGAAAAGAGAAAAATCCTCTCAATTGAAGAAATGAGTCCCCTTTAGATATTTTGTACAAGGTAGTACACTTTTACCCTTCTATACTTCATGCTTGTCTTGATGTGATGCTTTGTGTATTAAGTTTGTGCATGTCGGGTGTTGTTGTGTAAAACATGTACTAATGAATCGAACCCTAAGTGTTTCGATCGAAGTCACCAAAACAAATTCTAATTTATACTCATAAAACTTAGGAATGGTTAGTGGAATTGTCATGACGGAGGATTGTCATGATAAAAGATTGTCACTGCGGAGGATTACCTCATAGGAGGAGTGCCTCAGCCGAGGATTGTCGTAATAGAGGATTGTCATGGCAGGGGATTACCTCAGCAAATGAGTGCCTTAGTAAAGGATTGTCAGAACAAAGGATTGACACTGGGAAGGATTGCCTTAGTGGAAGAGTGTCTCAGCAGACGATTGCCACGGTAAAGGAGTGACATTATTAGAGGACTTCAAACATGATAGAGATTCAGGCGTCTACTCGGTGATTGTTGATGTGGCCGTATTGACCTTGTTTGATACCAGATCATGCTGGATATTTGAAATTCATACTACTCGATGTTGTGTGATTCAAGTTAGCATTGTATGAAAGAGTCGTGCGGGGTTTGTCTGATGTTATGTGATGTAGACAATGCTTGCTCTTTTGGTTGATGATGTGTGATCCAAAAACCATACGTTCTAATGCATGATGTTGTGTGGTCTAGCCATTGAATTTGATCATTGGTCTGATGTTGTTTGGACCAGGCTATATGATCTGACTAATTCTTCTTGTGTGTGTGATATTTCATGCTAGTAGCGATACATGATAGGTTATTATCATGAGATGTGTGTTGAGATGATTCATGTCTGTTGCTGTCTATACATCCATGCTTATATTTATATCACATGCTTATGTTATGAACTACATGAATTATCGTACCTTAGTTGTGTGCTACTAAGCTTGTCAAATTCAGTGTTCGGATGTTCCGTTCGTGTGCGACTATATTTGATAGCTTCCGATAAGCTTCATCAAAGAGTAATTTCAGCATCGAGTCATGTACTGACTGTGTATTAATAAGACCTTGTATGATTTATTGATGGTATGTAACACTATTAGTTAAACTATAAAGCCCTGTATCTTTTATAAACTCAACTAATACTTATTTAATTATTATGACAAAGTGATCGTGTTTTAAAAGTATTGTTTTTAGTAATGAGGTTTTCAAAAGAAATAGTTAACCACTTTGATGATTCTGTGAGACACTCGAATTCTTCGGATTTGGATCGAGATGAGTTTAGGGTGTTATATTTAGAGGTTTATATTCTCCTACTTGCTTTCATCCTCTGAAGTTTTTAAGCCGCCGGTCAATTATTATTCTCTTGACAAGACCTCTACCAAGCCACGTAATTTGCAAGATACAACTATATTGTTAGGTAATCAAATTCATTCAACCTGTTAGACTGTAAGTAACCATCATGACCCTAGGCCTGACACTAACACTAAGGGTCATTATAAAACCCCCCAACCAAGACCGAAAAGAATGATTCTTCTCCTAAGCTTTTTTTTGGGTACATTTCAGATCTGATTAACTAGACGATATGGATTGTTTGTAACTCCATCATCTTCTACTGACTATCAATCAAAAATTTATCAACTACAACTCTTCACCTAAATCAAAAGAAATGAACCATTTAAAACTGCCACAACCCAATGGTTAAAATCAATAATGTTGAACCTATACCCTCTTGACTTATTTTGGTTGATCCATAGAATCTCAATAATCCTAACAAATAATGACGAAGCCTATCCAAAAGCAAATTAAAGATAACCAAATGATATGGATTGTCTTATAATATTCGAAGTCCCTCTAGCTTTGGATGCTTTCACACCTCCTAGAGTATTCAAATAAACATGAAAAAAGAGTAACTAAAAAATACATCTATAAGTTTACTACTCTAAAATAATTTAAAACCATTGATGTAGTCATCAATTACTTAAACTCTCTTTAAACCTCAAACTCTTTTGTATCTCTTATGAAAACTATAATGAACTCTTCTTAAAACTCTAAAGATGGAAATGATCTTACCTTCTTAATTCTTGATGATTGATTCACTTTCATGTTTAACATTTCCACGATAAATGTTCTAATCTTTTTGGAGTATAGCACCGGTGTTGAGTAATTTGTAGTTGTAAGATTGTTAAATCGGTAATGAACCTGTTAGACTTTCTGTTAGTGTATAACTGTTTGACTGTTGTTAAGAATTGGGTTTTCTTTTAAGGTTGGGCTATATATATGGACCCATGTATTGTGTTTGGGCTTATGGTTGATTAATGAAAATGTCAGAAAGTATACTTTGCTTTTACTTTCCTCTTCCTCTTGTTGTCTCTGATTTATATTTGCGATAGTTGTTATGTCTTGTTGACGGTGAGTTGTTAGAGGAAATTTATATGAATCAACCACCTGAGTTTGAACAGTTTGATCATAATGGGGAGAAGTTGGTTTGTGTTTGAAGAAAGCTATCTATGGCCTTAGGCAAGCACCAAGGGCTTGGTGCAAGACCCTGACTTCGGATTTTACAGAAAAATTGAGCCCCACTTTCTCAAAGACAGATTCGTCATTATTTGTTCGAAATCCTGGTGGCTGCAAACTGTTGTTAATGATCTACGTAGATGACATTATCATCACGGGTAGTAGCTCGGATAAGGTTGATGGAGTGGATTAGGTTGTAAATGTTGAATTTTCTTTGAAGGACCTGGGACAGATTGAATTGTTCCTTGGTATGCAAATTCAACAACGTTCTAATGGGGGTAAGGCTAATATGCTTCGGTCCAGTCCTACTCCTACTTTTACGATTGTGAGTCCAAAATAAAAGGCTGATGAGGGCCAACCAATTGAAGATGTGCATCTCTATCGTAGTATTGTAGGGGTCTACAACATGTCACCTTGACAAGGCTGGACATTGTCTTTACTATAAACAAATTGAGACAACAAATGAACAACCCATGTGAAGAACATTGGAGGGTTGTCAAACGTTTTCTTCGTTACTTGAGCGGTACATTAGAGCATGATCTTTTCTAAAAGCCATACGGTAGTCTCAATCTTGTATGTTATGTTGACACTGATTGGGTTGCATCCGTTAACGATCTACAACAGGATATTGCATTTACTTGGGTGGTAATTTTATAGCTTGCTACTCGAAAAAGTAATCTGTTGTGTCTCACTCGACCTCTGAAGCAGAATACATAAGTGTTGCTAACTATGTGTCTGAATTAGTTTTGATTGAGCAGCTTCCCACAGAGATTGGAATATCCGTGGATGAGAAGCTGGTGGTTTGGTGTCTCCATTGTTGCGAATCCTACTCACCATGCTCATAATAAGCAAGTTGAAATTGATATACATTTTGTTCAAGAGAGGGTACTTACTGGTCAGCTTCTAGTTAACTTTGTGCCTTCATCCAAACAAGTTGTAAATATTCTCACCAAGTCGATTCCTCCATCTCACTTTAGTCAGCTTCGGTATCGGCTAGAAGTTGTTTCCTTGCTTGAAGTTCTTCAGGGAAAAGAGAAAAATTAGATGATATCATAGTATAACACTGTTGTTGAGCAATTTGTAGTTGTAAGATTGTTTAATCGGTTATGAATCTGTTGACATTCTATTTGTGTTTGACTGTTAAGAGTTGGGTTTCCTTTGATAAGATTGGGCGATATATATGTGTTTATGGTTGTTTAATGAAAATATCAGAAAGTATATTTTGCTTTTACTGTCCTCTTCCTCTTGTTCTCTCTTATTTAGTCACCAAAATTCCAAACTTCTGTCAATCATGTCTCTCTAAATCCAACGTCTACACTCTAAAATAATAGGATATAGCAGATTTGGTTTCTTAAATAGGAAAATTTCACCTTCAACCTCAGTTCTCATTTGATTAGACTCAAATGCATCTTCACATTCTATTAGAGCTTGAACTATGGAATCCATTGTTGGTCTCTTATTTCTATTTTCATCGACACAAGATATTCCAATTTCAATCATTTTCTCCGCTTGGATCAAGTTGAATTGTCCATTCAATCTTGTGTCCACTGTATCATTCACCCAGGCAACCTCTTCACCTTGCATTTTTCCTCTCACTACCTTGATGAATCTGGTTAACTCAGTTTCCTGCTCGTCGCCATCCTCCACCACCCACTGGGAGAGCCGAATGCCTTTCACCAACTCCAGGATCACCACCCCATAGCTATAGACATTAACCTTTGCGGTGACCGGAAGGTTTAGTGCCCACTCGGGAGCCATATAGCCTTTCGTTCCTTGAATTCGAGACATTTCGTAGTTGTTACTGTCCCTTTGAGACAGCTTCGCTAGTCCGAAATCCGAAATCTTGGGTTCAAACTCACCATCCAAGAGTATATTTTCAGGTTTCACGTCAGTGTATAACCCATTCTAGGCACCCGTGGTGAAGATAGGCCAATCCTTTAGCTGTCCCTAAGTGATAGGGAAGCGGTGGCGGATTGATGAACGTTGCTCTTGTTGAAGAATCAAACCTAGAAAGCTCTAGACTCGATGAAGAACACAGGTGATGAATATGGGAAGGTCGTGGTAGTCGCTAAGATTGTTTAGGGTTTTTTTATGTGCTGGAATCAAGACAATACGATTAGAATAAAATAAACAAAAGATAAATAAAGGAAAGATGAAATAAGATAATAAAGAAATCAAAAGATCTCCCTTATGAAGGTGAACGGTAAAGATGATTGATGGTGCGGATGGATTTGTGGAAAAATATATGATAAGTGTCCTATCGAGCCCTCCTAGTCGCAATGAAAAGGCAAACACGATAAATGGCTCTAACCAACCCTCCTAGTCGCGATGAAAAGGCAAATTGGAGTGTGAAGATTAATCTCCCTCACAAGAACTTGAAAGAACTCCAGGAGAAGAAGCTTCGAAGGCACAAGGCAATCAGCACTTGCAAAAACAAACTCTTGTTGTATTATTGATCAAAGAAATCTGATTCACAAAGTTGAATGAAGCCTCCTTTATATAGGGGCTGAATTCTAAAGGTCCTAAATAACTAAAGAATAAAATATTAATAAACTAAACATGTTTTAACCCTAATTCCTAATAAAATAATAACTAAAAATATTGTTTTAACCCAACCTTAATTCCTAATAAAATAATAAATCTGATCCTAAAAGATAATTAATCATCCTATATTAAATTATATTACAAATAATCAATATAAATATTGAAAATTCGTAATATTTACAAAATAACGTATTAATCCCGTATAGGATTTCCTGCATGCACCGTCTTCAGTAAAATGACCATATCTTGAGTTCCCGATATCGGATTGATGCGATTCAAGAACCGTTAGAAAGATAAGAGACAGACGGTTGTATCTCCAGAAGACATGCCGACCAAATAATATCAGGATCCCATTCAAAAAGTCGTCTCAAGTGCGCTGCTGTTCTGATCTTCTTTTCCAAAGCTTGGACGAGTGGATCATTTGGAAGAGTTATTACTTCTTCCTTTGATGTGAACCTTGTGATGCATGTATCATCCTCCCTTTCTTCAAAAAGATTCGACCTCGAATCTGAAACATTAAAGGGAGCAACATTAGAATAGTTTAATAATTCATTCACATTATGCTTACCGAATAGATATGCTTTGAATCTTCGAGACTTTGTTCTTCTAATAGGTTCGAGTAGAAACATTAGTCCAAAGAAGCATGTATTATGGACTCTGGTGCATGTATCACTAAGGCAATTTTAAACCTCTCTTTCCATGCAAGAACGTTCCCGGAGGAAAGGTGTTTGTCCAAAGATCGATTTTGCACGTACTCATAGACCAGGAGTCTATGTTTTGGTTCCAAACAAAATCCCCACATTCTCACGAGGTTCATGTGGTTGATCTTTCCAATTATGCTCACTTCTGCCCAGAAAACTTCCTCTGTTAGATATGATTCTCCCAATTTCTTGACTGCTACCACAGTACCACTCTTTCATCCTCCAACACACCCTTAAATACAACCCCGGAAGCGCCGCTTCCCATCTCTTCTTCGAAGTTCTTCGTTGCCTTCTTGAGCTCCATATAACTGAACTTCCTGAATTGATTCGATAATAAACGATATCCTTCTTCCATGGTAGATGGAATTCCATCTTTTCTGAAAAGAAGCCACCAACATAATCCAATGAACAGCATTTCAATTGCACCAATGACAGCGGCAAAGGAGTATAGATAGACCCATCTCGCACATTTCCCTCGGGTTTCAGACATTGTGGAATCATTTGACTTGCATGTAAGATCCTCTCTTCAGGAAATTATTGGGATTTCCTGAACCTGAAGGAGAGAAACATGAATAGACGAGGAAAATGAGACAAAGAGTTGAACTCAAGGATGTTAAGGTCTGAGATATCATGGCTGTCGGATTTAGTTTTAGAACAACAAAGGTTGCATTAAGATTCTAATGAATATAATGCGACGGCCAGAATGCATTAAAATAAAAGAAAGAATTATTTTTTAAAAACAATTATTATTATTAATATTATTTTAATTACATTGTTTTTGCAACCAATTACAACACAAGCTCTAAGCCCAGATTACACTCAAGCCCAACCCAGTTACAACCAAGATCTAACCCAGACCTGGCTCAGCAGCCAACCAGTAACCTGGATCCTGATCCAAAAAGAAAATGATCCAATCCGAACTGATCTGGATGCGTTTTTAGATTAGGGTTTTTTAACCCTAATGTATCAAGCCATCAATCGAAGCCAGCCGTCGCCGCCAATTTAGCTCCCACAGGCACGTGAGCTTCACGCGCCAACTTTACAGCTCACCGACAGCCGCTCAAACAGGACCTCACCCTCGCCGACAGCCTCTAACGCCACCGTCGACAAATATGCACCAAACAGTGACCGAATCCATCAAACAAAGAAAAATATCATATCAACAGTCAAAGAAACCCATTTAAAATATGAAGAAATCCTCATGAAATCCTAAGGAAATATGGAGGATCTGTCAAAAGAGGAAGATGTCTCTTCCCTCAGTTATCTGCATGCATCGATATAAACCATTTTCACAAAGAGAAAAAGGGGTGGATAGAAAGACTCGGGGGGAGAAAGAAAGAGAAAAAGGAGAAAGAAAGAGAAAAAGGAGAGAGGGATAGAGAGAGAATCGGGAACGAAGAGAGAAAAATTACATAAGAAATTCGAAGAAGAAAAAGAAAGAGAGAAAGGAGAGAGGTGGAACCCATTCGAAAAAACAATAAACCAAATAAAAAAATAAAGAAGCTTAAAACCCAAAAACGCTTTCGAACCAAAGAAAAAAAAGAAAAAAAATAGAAGATGAGAGTTCTTATCGTGGTTTGGAGTTCACTAGGAAGCCGAAAGGTCGTCGGGGCTCTAAGTTTTCGAAAGGTAACCTCTAGATCTAGGGGTTTAGGGTGAGATTTAGGTTAAGTGGGGGTGGTTTATGGGTTGAGGAGGCTGAGGGGAACCATTTGGGGTGGTTTGCTCTCTCCGACCACCGTCAGTCGTCGTGAGCGCTGGCAGTGGCCACGGTTGATACCCTCACCGACGAGAGAGTTGAGAGAGTTCTATCTCATTCTCTCTGTGGTTTTTTTTGAAACGAAGAGAAATGAAGGAGAATGAGAAGGAGAAGCCCATTTTGGGCTTATATACCCCGACCTAAACGCTGTCGTTTTGGGAGGGGCCATTTTCGTGTTTTGTATATGGGATAAACCATGCTCTGGGGCTTCGGGTTTTGTAATCTTCTTTTTTAGTCCCTGGTTGTAATTTGTTTACATTAGATTTTATTCCCTACATTTGTAAATTTTGTATTTTGGTCACTTGGCTATTATTATATATATATATTTCGTAAATGCTAGACATTGTTCTCGTTGTTTATGAAGCTTATATTTTGGTCAATGTTTTGTATTTTAGGTTAAATCCTGAATTAGCATGTATGTTTACTTTCATTTCATTTCAATCATTTACAATATTTACGATTTATTTTCATTTCTAGTACATGTATTATTTAATATTGGCAATATGGGTTCTGGTTTATTTGTAATTACTGTTTAGCTCTTTAAGTTTCTGTTAGTAATAGTTTGGTCCCTTAAAATTATCAATGTGATTACTTATGTTATTTTTATTTAGAGTAGTAATTTTTATTTTATTTTGTTTTAATCCTTCATGTATATGTATATTTTGTATATTACGGTTCTATGTATTATTTTAAATAGGTGTTATTAACTCTGTATGTTGCGAATATTTTATTTTTGTGGATTTCAAATTGTATTCATTTTCATTATTTTCTATTACCTATCGATATGTTATGCGAATAATTTCAAGAACATGTATGCGTAAAATGAGCGTGGAAAGCATCACTTGGTCGAAGTGGTGTAATCTGATACGATATTCTAACGAAATGTGAACTTTAAATAAATCAATTTTATTTTTACTAATTAATTCATTTTGTATTTTAAATCGAACAACGCAATGCATGTTTCTCTAAATAGTAATTTATTTTATTTCATGTAAATGTCGATTTTTAGTTTATATTCGATGCGTATTTTTAGGAGGGAATATTCTTTACGGAAAAGAAATAGGCGAGATAGCTTTTCCGATAGAGGATTGCTAATCTCGAGATTTCTTTTCAAGTCAAAGAATTTTTCCTAACAATATAAATAATTCAAAGCAACTTAATAAATAGGTCATATTTTAACCTTATGTTCGATCTATGATTTCCACCATTTAGGACAACGTGTAAGCGATCCAGTACCAGTTTTTGGGCGTTGTCGGAATGTTAATCCTTCCCCACGCGTAATCGATTCCTGAACCCAACAAATCAAATCTTTGGTAAACACAGACCATTTTTTGTCTTAAAAAATGTTTTTTTCCTTAATATTTTTTAAAAGAAGGTTTTTTAGGTATTTGACCTACCTAACCCAAAGGTCGATAGTGACTCCTTTCAATTTAATTCCAATTAATGCAAAACCGTCAATTTTCCCAAATAATTATTTTTTAAAAGTCATAATTGTTTTTAAAAAATAATATTTAATTGTTTTAAAAAAAATGGTTATGATAGCTTGGCGACTCTGCTGGGGACTTTTTTTTAGAGAGTCAGGCTGTAAGACGCTTACTCATTGTCGTTGTGGCGAAAATTATGAGTTTGAGTCTTTAGTTAACTTATGATCCATTTATTAAGGTTTTTTAATGTCTTCATTTTTAATTGGGATACTAATTTTTTTTAAATATGTGTTTTCAGTAGTGTTCAAGTCTCTCTAGAGAGTTTTCTTTTTCTTTAGAGTCAAAGGTAGATACGTTCCTCCTCACACACATCAAGTGCATTCGTATAACATAAGCTATAGACCTAAGCTTCGATTCAAGTAAGCTGGGGTGAATGATTTACTCTCGTAAGAATTTATTCTTCGTATGAGTTTTAGCAAATAACCCATGGGATACATACCTTATACCTTCGTAGGGATTTATTCCTCGTATGGGTATAAGGTAGTGAATCCCCTCAAATTGAACTCGTTCCATTTGAAACCTGTAATGGGTGAGGATTGAGGGTTTGGCAGCCCAAGGGGCCACCGACATCAAGGACAATTCGAGTACCCTTTTTTCTCATAGAGTCAAAACCATGCATATAGTGAACCGTAGAATGGTGACCCTAGGTGTAGTCATACCGAACCTCTGTCCGTTAGTAGGTACCCAAAATTAGGTGTACACAAAGGAGGAGCGTTTCTGAACCTTTCCTTGTTCTTTAAATTCTATTGAATAATAACATGCGAACTAGATAATATGCAGTTAGGATTATTTTCTTGAAAATTAATCATTTTGGGTAGAAAACATGTCCGAGTAGGAATGCTATTTAATAAAAGCATGTTCGGGTAGATATCATGACGGGGTAGGTGTTATATTCATCTCTGAATAATATTTTTATCCATATCAATTATCTTACTAGTTGTGTCATTTTTCGTCATTTTTTGCATTGTATTGCTTCATCATGACATAATACAAAAGTGTTGATCCGCAACGGGATAATCAAGAGAAAAATTTCACAAGAAGAGATAAAAGTTTTCAATCAAGCAGTCGCATACATAGACATGCACCGAGGGCTAAAAGAAGTTCAGAGTACAAGAATGAGACTTGCTCAAATATTGTGCAGCATTCGAGACTGATATGATTATCCACTGATATGAGGAGTAATCCAGTAGATTCTCATCCATGATTATTTCATTGCTAGTCATCAAGGAGCGACGCACTAACTTCAACACCATATGGAACACTAACAGAGTTAGGTTACAAAGAACTTGAAGGGCATCATTTTCAAGAATGAAGATCCGAGACGAAGCAGTGATCCACTTTAGAATCAACATCTAAGCAAATGCATGTTTGTAAAGTGGGTTGTCTTGTAATGTGAAGGCTTTTATTTTGGGTGAAAATTGTTTTATGATATTCATCGTTGGGATCAATTTTTTTGCATCTGCATTTTATTTTTTAAGCATTTTCATATGCATAATTCATAAAAATATGGAACCAATTCATGGAGGATTCGATGAAGTGATCCTAATAACGTTGAGAATATAAGCAAAAATTGAATAAATCAGTACATTGAAAGCCTATTTAGCTGTTGTAGGACTGAGCCTTCCAGGATGATCTGAGAAAAGAGTCCCTATATCCTGAGGTTTATGATGTTGAAGTCGTGTGCAGTTACCACATAGGAAGCTCTAGACATTCCGCTGAGAACTGTAAGGCACTGAAGCGCAAGATCCAAAATATGATATATTCAGGGGTATGGACAATCAAAGAAGGATAGGGGCATTGCATCTACCACTTGCATTGAGAGCATTGCTTTGTTTGAACTCGTTTTTGTTCTGTCTTTCATATTTACTTAATCTTTTAATGATTGAACTTATGCTACCTTCTAAGGTTGAATAATTGAGCGAGTTTTAATATTTAGTTCTTCAAATATCAAATGAATTACAGATTCTCTTAATTATTCAATAATTATGGATTTTTGACATATGACAAGATTAGACCTTTCTTATCATGTCTAAAACCCCAAAATAAAATCTCTTGATTCTTTACCCGAAATAATTCATGGTCACTTCCAAAGAACAAAATTTTGACATTTCCTCTCTTTGAGACCTTGAAACATTGCCATTATCTTTTTGATACACAAAAAAGTCATACCCTTACATTTCCTTGAGCCAATAAAGTCACACCATCATCTTCTTAGACTTAAAACAAACATTTTTTCTACCAATAAAA